TCGCCAATGATCTGTTCCAGGATTACTCTGGTATCTGCCCAGTAAGCTGACCACAAAACTAATGTTTGGTCTAGTATATGTTTGAGCATACATTAAACTTCCAACAATAGATGCATACAGAATATACTCCATTTGCTTACGTTCCAATTCAATATGTGGGCATTGCTTAAGGCTCAACTTATCACCTTTCTGAATTGGAACTGGACTCACAAAGCACCTATGCATATTGTATCTCTCTAGAACTTTGTTGATATAAGCTTTCTGAGACAATCCCAACAATCCTTGTGATCTATCACGAATAATTTCAATTCCAATCACATAGGATGCCTTGCCCACAGCCTTCATCTCAAAGTTCTTAGAGAGAAACTTCTTGGTTTCATACATCATGCCAAGATTATAAGTAATAAGGAAAATGTCATTAACATACATGACTAGAATTACAAATGCACTCCCACTGACCTTCAGATATATACATCAATCAATAGTATTTTCCTTAACTCAGAAAGTGGTAATGCTATTATTGAACTTGAGATACCACTGCCTGGAAGCTTGTTTCAATCCGTATAATGATTTCTTTAATTTACACACCATGTGTTCCTTCCCTTTATTGGAAAACCATCAGGCTGTTCCATGTACACTTCTTCTTCTAAATTCTCATTCAGAAAGGTAGTTTTCACCTTCATTTGATGAAGCTCCAGATCATAATGAGCTACCATTGCTAGAATAATTCTAAATGAGTCATTTGAGGAAACTAGCAAAAAGTTCTCGTTGTAATCAACACCATCTTTCTAAGTAAAACCTTTGGCAGCAAGTCTGGCCTTGTACCGTTCAATATTGCCATTAGAGTCACGCTTGGTCTTAAAGACCCATTTACACTCGACTATTCCATAGTCTTTAGGCAATACTACTAGATCTCAGACTTCATTGTATTTTGTTGATTTTTAACTCTTCTTTCATGGCGTCTAACCACTTTGCAGAATTATCACTTTGAAGGACTTATGAAAACATAATTGGATCTGCTTCCATTCCCAAGTCAAATTCCGACTCTTGAAGATAAACCACATAATTATTAGTAATGGTAGATCTTCTTTGTGTTTGAGATCTTCTTAATGTTACTTCTTGTTGTTCATTTACTACTTCATATGACTCATCCATTATAGGTTCATTGACTGTTACATTATCAGGAAGTGTTTGCTCAATTATTTACTATTCTTGATTGTTATCAGAACGTTTGACAACTACAGGAACCACAACCTCAATAGAAGTCATAGGTGCAGGGACCTATGCCCTGGCTGTAATACTTTCTTTCTAGCTAGTATACTCGTAAAATAACAATAAAACTCACTAAATATATATATAAGAAAATATACATATAAACGAGTATAAAATTATGGGCCCATATTTAATTTTTCTTTATATACAAATCTATAAATAATATAATAAAGTCTCAAAATAGTAACTTGATAGTGTAGTCCAACCCTTCCGCTACATGATATTCCGAGCGACTGCATCTCACCTATTACCTGCAAAAACATTGAAAACAACGAGGTGAGCACTAATTGCTTAGCAAGTAAACCCGCTATGATACCCTTCTCTCTCTGTTGCTTAACTTCTGAATTTTTTTCCTTACATCACACTTCTCGATTCTTCTCTATCCTTTCTCTATTTTTTTCTCTGTTTTTCTCTCTATTCTTTCTCTTTGTTCTTTCTCTATTCTAATTTCCCACTACTCAGATAATGGGCATGGTATTTTGCATATATATGATGCAAATGCACAAATGCATAAAATGTGCATTTTCTTTTCTATTTTTCTTATTCTGTTTTCTGTTTCTTTTTTGTATGTCTTTCTTTCTATTCTTTCTTGTCGATCGGACTCGGTTGAGGCATGGATTTGGAACCCTGGCCTTGTGAGTGTATTCTCTAATTCTAGGTACAGTCCTCATCCACACACACTCCTAACGAATTGTACAATTCTTCTTTCTGAATTTTGAGGCTGCTTACTAAAGGCGGCGTGCATGTGGGGCTATGTCACTCACGGGCTCCCCATCGCAACAACCTTTTCTTTTTTTTATCTTTTTACACTTCTTTAAATAAAAATTCAGATTTGAACTTCTTTAATATTCTCGTTTCTTTCTATTTACTCTTTAACATTCTTTAGTGCTTTTTCATGCTCTTATGAGTATGTATGCATGTAGATGGTTTCATGCTTATAATTCTTTCTAAATTTACATGTTTAGATGCAATAATGCAATATGGAATGCAAACATGTCATTCTCTACCATCTACAAACTCAATCCAAAGTAACCCATAATCATACTCATACATGCACTTCTTTTTGACATTTCATCAAACAATTCATGTGCACAAATCAACTCTAATTTGGCTACACTTCTACCTCTTTTCTAAGCCACCAAAAATTTGGTATAAAATCTTCTATCTTTAATGCTAAACCTGTCCAAAATATGCACTCCAAAATTTCTACTTCAATTCTTCCAAATTTCATCTAAACTCACGTCAAATATCAAATACACAAACACTACTTCTCATGGATAAGTTCTAATTATCATTCAACACCAAATCCATTAACAATTCTTCACATAAAACACATATATGCATAAAAGAAATTCTCTACACAATATTACTTAAATCATAACTAGGGTAGGATTTACTTACGTTAGATGTGAGCAATCCGACACTCTAATAATCTTCTTTGATCCAACTCTCTTTCTCTTAAATCCTACGAACACAAATCATCAAAATTCAACTTCAAAAATTAAAACTCACTTCTTACTGCAAGGATCTTACCTAAGGATGCTTGGGATTGAAAACCCACTAAAAGGTACCCAAAATCTATGAATTTCCCTTGAAAAAGAATTGAAGAAATTGAGAGAATTTGGGTGGTAAGTGGCGTGAAAGAGGAGAAGAAGTGGCTAGGGTTTCATTCTTCAATTCTTGTTATAACATAATATTATTTATAGTTTCCCATTTTGCCCTTGCACTTTCTATAAAATTTCATCTATGTCCCTTAGTCAATTACCATAATGCGCTCATTTTAATGCATTCTCCATGAAATTTTATCTTTTTTCACTCCCCACATTTTCAACTAATTATGAGTGAAAATACCATTTTACCCTAATGAAATTTTAAGGCATTTTCTTCACATTTTTCTCAAAATAACTTTAACAAAATTCAACTAAGGGTATAAGGGCATAAGTTAAGCTATGTACCTCGATGTGGGCGTTACACTGACTTCTTGAATATTCACTTTATGTGGTTTAACACTCCTACAAGTTTCACGATTCTCAATGAATCTCGCATTTTAAGTTTCAACTATTCTCGTACTATGGTTAGGACAGTAAAAACAATATTCTTTAGATTTTTTTGGATAACTAATAAAAAATCCTGATCGTTCTTGAATCTAGTTTTTTTTTTTTTTCATGTGGATTATAAATCTTGACTTATGTCGGGCAACCCCAAACATGTAGATGCCTCAAACTGGATTTCTTTCATGTCCATAGTTTAAAAGGAGTCTTTGAAACTGTCTTACTAGGAACCCTGTTTAATAAATATACAACAGTCTTTAATGCGTATATCCACAATGATGAGGGTAACGAGGAGTTACTCATCATACTCCTAATCATATCTATTAACGTACAGTTATGCCTTTTTGCAACATCATTTTGTTGCGGTGTCCCAACATTGTGTATTGAGCACATATGCCTCGACTTTCCAGGAATTTAGCAAATGGACCTGGACATTGTCCAGATTCATTGTATCTATCATAATATTCACCACCTCTATCTGATTGTCCTACTTTCACATTTTTATCTAATTGCCTCTCAACTTCAGTAATAATTAATAAATACCTCGAGGATATTAACAAATTGAGATTTTTCACGCAATCGATAAGCATATTTATAACGTGAAAAGTCATCTATAAAAGTAATAAAATATCATTCTCCACTTAAAGAAGGTACGTCAAAAAGACCACATATATCAATGTGTATTAATTCAACGAGTCCTATGCTTCTAGTGCCTACTTTTTTAACAATGGATGTGATTTGTTTTCCTTTAATGCAATCCATGCAAATGCCAAAATCAGTAAAATCCAAATCAGGTAAAACTTCATTCTTTACTAATCTTTACATTCTTTCTTTTGATATATAGCCTAAACGTTTATGTCATAAATAATCAGATTTCCCATCCACAGAAGCACGGTTTGTTCCTATATATGATGCAAGGTCAATAATGTCTCAACAAACAAACTATCAAGATGTAATTTATATGGTCCATCACAAAGCACACCAGAACCAATTAAACAATTATATTTAAATAAACTAAAACATACATTCCTGAATTTAAAAGTATATCCTTCTAAATCAAGTTTAAATAGAGATATTAAATTATCGGATAACTTCGGTACATAAAAAATATTAAACAAATCTAAATGATGTCCAGTACTTAAAATTAAACAATAGGTTCCAATGGCTTCTACTCGTGCTTTGACCTGATTTCCTATGTATACAAATCTTTTATTATCGTTTATGGTTTAGGTCATAAGGAATCCCTACATAGTATTAGAAATATGAGTGATACATCCAGAATTAATCCACCAAGTATTATAAGGAACTTCTGATAAATATGATTCGAAACCTACAAAAGCACTAGGCTTATCTTTCATTTTAAACCATGCCTTACGTTTTAGGCAGTCCCTCCTATAGTGTCCAACTTTCTTGTAGAAATGACACTTTTCTTTAGTCTTATCCTTTTATGGATTTGGGCAGAAGACTCATTAATCTTCAATGGCCTTTTGCCCTTTCCATACTTCTTGTTGGATTTCTTCTTAATTCCAGATGAGCCCATGAGATTAACTAAATGAACTCCTTGTTTCTTCAATCTTTTCTCCTCTTGTACTAACTTAGTTTGAAGTTCAGTCATATTCCATTTATCTTTAATTGTATTATAGTTAATTTGAAATGGACTAAAGAGTTAATGACGAACTAAACAAGGAAACTATCGTCTACATACATTCCCATGTTTCTAATTCTTGCTGCTATATTTGACATCTCAGTCACATGCTCATACATGCTACAAGAACCATCATATTTCATGGTGGTCAACCTATTCATTAATGCCCCAATACGGGACTTGTCAGGGGCCTCAGACTGAGAAGTCACTTTGGCTAATCTAATAAATTCCCTAGCATATTTTATGGTAGGAAATGAGATCCTAATTTTGCTCACCATTGTCATCCATAAAGCCTTTAGGCTCAATCTATTCGATCTCTCCCATTTTTTATGGAAAGACCTTTCCTTATCAGTACTGTTCTCAATGAGATCAATTGGATTCTCTGTCATGAGTGTAAGGTTGAGATTTTGAACACCCAAGTAACACTTGACTTGCTTACTCCACTCATTATAATTGAACCCATTAAACTTAACAACAGATAAGGCATGAAGAGCAGATGATGCAAAAACAAAATTATGCTTACACATTAATACTTTGAGTTTTATATCTAATACATAATTTTAGATTCAGATATTTAAAAATTATTATGATTAAAACATAAATGTGTATTGACAAACTCCTTTGAGAGATATAACAATATACGATAATTAAACTTAATTGATGCAATTCTCTTAATTGGTTATCAAATGTGCTTTCGTTAGACATTTTCGTTATCTTTGGATATACTAAACACACCTAATCAAGTATGTTAATTAACCTCAGTTATGTTCATAATTATAGGATTAACTAATCTATCTTTGGGTGATCCTTAACTATCCTATAATTTATGAACTTCAAATTACTCATGTCCAATATATCATATCATCTCAATAAAGCATCTAACGATCATGAGTAATTAAATCTAACTTAGTTTGATATCTATGAAATAATCATTCTAATTTGGCCTCTTTGTTGACTAACAAATTATACATAATATAGTTATCAAACGTAAATAATAACTATAATTATATCCTAAGTGGACATTCTATCTTTCTCTAAAGAAAATTATAGTTTAGAAACCTATACATATCCTTCATGTGCTGCACACCTAGTTGCATGCGCCCTCACACACTGTCACATGTTGTCGCATGCCGGGCATGCACCCTCATGTGTCGGTTAGCCCATTTTGACCGTTTGATTGGTCTAGTCAATGGTCTGAACCGGCTTGGCCCATTGATCGGTTTGAACTATTGAATGAATCGATTCACTTTTTGGACTGTAACAAGGTTGGGTTGCTTTGTTTGGCTGGATTGGGTTGACTTGTTTATACTAAATGGGTTGGTCTTCTTTATGGGTTATTCTTAACAATGTTTTGAAAATCGGACCAGATTCTAAACCGGATAAAGATTCAGTTTCCAGTTTGAACGGTTCAATCGGTCTGATAAACGGGTCAGACCAGTGATGTTATATATATATATATATCACCTCATTCCTCTTTCTTCTTCTCAATTCTCACTTATCACCTTATCTTTTTTTTTTGTTTTTTTTTTTTTCTCTTTCTCCCCATCCTCTTCTCTTTCTTCCTTACTTCTTCCATATTCTCTTTTCTTTTCTCACTTCTTCTCTTTCTTCTTCTTCAGATCTTCTCCTTCGTCTTTTTTCTCTCTCTCTTTCTTCCAGTCCTCTTCTCTTTCTTCTTTACTTCTTCCATATTCTCTTCTCTTTTCTCACCTCCTCTTCTCTTTCTTCTTCTACTTCTTCAGATCTTCTCCTTTTTTTTTTCTTTCACATTCTAAGCTCAAATCTAACCGAAGATGAATGAAGGTGAAAGAGAAGATGAATGAAGTTGGATTTTTGAAGCCGAAGAAAAAAAAAAGAAACATATTAGTTGGACCGGTGGTCTTCCACTGTTTAAGCGGTTCATTTGAAGTTTAAAATGGTCCGATCGTTGAGAATGGTTTTTATTAGTTTGTGAACCGCTTTTCCTTCCGAAACCCGGTCGAACCGGCCGGTCCGGTCTAGTTTTCAGAACACTGATTCTTAATGGGTTTGTGTTTGAATTGGGCTCACTTAATAAATAGGGCTAAGGCTTCTTAATGAGTTTTTATAAACTAAAAAAAATAGGCTTTAAAAAAACAAATGGTCTAGATCAACTAAAGGAATAGTGTTATTATATGGGTCAATATTTGACCCAAATTTCTGGAAATATTATGGAACCCAAATTTATGGAATTTTTTTTATTGAAAAATGCATCTAGACATTTTAGCATAAGAAAAATTCGATTCTGGCCAACTTTCCAACCACTTAAGAGGTATTCTTTAATCTATTTTAACCACAACCTTCCTATTTATCAATTTCCAAACCCAATCTAATTTCTTTATACCATAAGAACTATGATATATAAAAAATTAACTTAATGGAAAATACATCAGTTTCTAAACCTGAATTTGCTCTAATACCACTTGTAAAACTTAATTGCAATTTCATCAATGGCAAAGAATTAGTAATATAATCATATTTTTATACCCTAAATTGCATAAACATTAAATCTCAGAATCTGAAACTTGATTAATATTCACTATTTATTAAAAAAGTAATACATATCTGGTTCCATGATTAATTTCTTGATGATGTAAAAGAAGGTAGTGTATCTCTCTCCTTTTCCATTTTGTCAATTGTTTATTTCTTTTGATGGAAAAAGAAAAACCCACGTTAGAAACAGAGAGAGAAGACCCCTTTTATATAGCAATTTTATTAACTATCAAACTGCAATTATTTTATTAACTGTATTAACCTCTCCATCAAAGGTAAATAACCATCATGCACCTTAGCCAATTTAATTATTTCAAAACAACCATGGACCACCTTATGTGATTTAAAATATTTCTAACAGGGATTCCAACTGATAAAGTTACTTATGTATCAATATCACATCGATTATAGAAAAATGACCTGGCTTGCCAAAACTGCCAACCCGCTGCGGGCCGGGCGAGTTGCTTTTTCACCATTACCTATAATCCTGTAATCAATGTGGTGTTAGCAGTCTAGCACAAAAGCAATCACATCTAGGGATGGGCATGGGTCGGGGACCCATGTCTTCGAGCTCGGCCTAAAAGCCTAGGGGGATTCCCCCAATCCGGCCTGTTCCCTGAACGAGGAATTCAAGGAATCCCCAAATTAGGCCCAATCCCTAAATAGGGAATTCGAGGAATCCTCGAAATCCCCAAATTTAGATGTTGATTTCACAAATTGTGTGGGCAAAATTTGTGTTTATAAATGAAGGGCAAATCCGTAATTATAAAAATATAACAAGGGTAATTAGATAATGGAATTTAAATAATGACTCAATGAATCAAAGTATCAAATGACACGTTATACATATATAACATATATATTATGTATATCAAATGATACATTATACATATATAACATACTTATTATGTATTAAAAATATTTATAGTGATTTATTGATTTATTATAATGAATCAAAATAGCAAATGATTATGGATAATAACATATTATGTATAATGTATAATATATAATGTATAATGTATAAATTTTGTTTCATAGCATATTATGTATAATGTATAATACATATGATATATTATACATATACATTATACATTATAAATTATACATTATACATTATACATATATATTGTGTATATCAAATGATATATATATACATATATAACATATTTATCAGGGTGGGGCAGAGATGGATCGGGCTAGGGCAAATTTTGGGGATTGAATTTTGGCCCAGACCTGGTCCAGTCCTTGAACCATTCAGGGAATCTCTACCCTGTTCAGTCTGGGTCCCCAACGGGGCAGGGAAAATGCCCATCCCTGACTACATCTGATGATGATATTTCAAATCTATATGTGTGTATGATGAAAATTATTTAAACACCTATTTATGCAGTTAATATTGCAGCCTGATTAACATCGTTAAGTGTCCATTGTTTGGTAGAAATATTAATTGTGTCATTTTCATTTAGTTCTTCAAAAAAGTCTCATTAGGATGAAAATACTCTTTAAAATCACTAAAGAAATATTTTAATATTTTGCAAAACAAGAATATATTTTCCTTTAATTGAAAATGAAAACTTCTTTCTTATATAATACAAATTAATTTTTACATTTATTTGAATACAAATTTTTTATTGATTATAAAGGGTAATGTTTCTCTTTTTGATATTGTCAATTTTTTCTCTTGTAAGATGCAAAATATCTCCGTTCATTTAATTATTGTTTTTGTTTTTTTCTAAACACAAAGAAAACTCATCAAATTTTTATGTCCTCTTTTCTCTATAAACATTTTCTCTCTTTTAAATAAAACTTAGTGAAAATTAGAGTGGGGCATTTGGGACTGGGTCCAAAAACCCAGCCCAAAAATGTGGTCCTATGATCGGTCCTTGAGAGGACCGGTCCTTGGGACCAGGCCTAAGGAGGAGGGCCCTCCTCCAAGGCCCGGGCCTGGGCCCAAATTTTTTTGAATTTTTTCTGTTTAGTCATCTGTATAATTACATAAAACCCCTTATAAATTTAAAATAAACATAATTACAAGGATTAAAATGAAATTTTACAAAATTTATAAAAAAATAAAAGAATAAAATTTTTTTGCACTAACCATTAGCTGCTGCCAATGGTTATAATTTTTTTTTTTAACCGACATGCCAGCCAATGGTTTATTATAACCTTTTTTTTTTCATTCTTAAACCCCCCCCCCCCCCCCCCCCTTACAAGGATAAAATGAAATTTTACAAAATTGATAAAAAAATAAAAGAATAATTTTTTTTGCACTAACCATTAGCTGCTGCCAATGGTTATAATTTTTTTTTTTAACCCGACATGCACCATGGTTATAATTTTATATAACCTTTTTTTTTTCATTCTTAAACCCCCCCCCCCCCCCCCCCCCCCCCACTACACTATAAATAACCCAAAATCCTTTTAATTTTTTCCACACTAATCAATCTCTCATTCTCTCAATCTCTTTACTCCAAATCTCCAATCAAATTCTTATTCAATTTATATTTATATTTATAATTTATTCATATAATTTATTTATATTATTCAATTTTTTTTTCTATTTTTCAATATCATCATAATTTCATATTATTATTATTTAATTTCTTTTCATTTTAGTTATTTATTATTTTATCATAAATTTATAATAGCTTCCCTAAATGAGTTTTACGTTCCATCCACAGAAGAAATGGAAAGGTTCAATCCATTTTCACCATTTCCTTTAGAGGAAGCATCTGCAATTCCACAACCACATTCAGTTGGGACGAGGTGTAGGCAAACACATGCGAGCTAGGAGTCAACGGGCACGGGCATAGCTCGACCCCCCCGACCATCAAAGATGGTCGTGTCCGATATATGACGACACTTCACCAAATCAAAACGGCCAAAGACAAATGGGGAAGGGGAAGAATCGTGTGGGATATGTAATTTCTGTGGAACCATTATTAGCGTTGAGAAGGGGACTTCGACGATGCGACAACACGTAGAGAAGAAGTACTCCCAAATAATGCAGTTGCCAGATACATCTTCAAGTGAATTAGGTAGACAAATTCAAACTCAACTTAATTTTAATTCACAATCCTCAACTCTTTCAACATGGTAATACAATGCACATATTGCACGAGAGGAAATAGCAAGATTCATAGTTGCTACGGACTCTCCCATTTGTTTATCTGAAAATCCTTATTTTATTCACATGATTAAAACTACATTTTGTGCAGCATATATCGTTGTTAGTAGAAGTATAAGTAGAAGAGATATACTAAAACCTTATAACAAAATAAAAAATAAACTTAAAAACGAATTTCAAAATTTTAGGAATATATCTATTGCACATACATCAGATATATGAGCTTGTAGATCAAAAACTGATTTTTTAACTGTCACAGTACATTTCTTAGATCATAATTGGGGTTTACAACAAAGATTGATGGGTTTTAAACCATTATATGAAAAACATAGTGCTGAAACTATTTATTTTACAATTCTTGAAGTTTTGCAAGAATATTTATTAACTGATAGAGTTGTAGCACTAATGCTTGATAATGCAGCTGCTAACACTACGACAATCTCTTTATTTGAAAAGAGATTGGATTCGCGTGGTGAAGGCAAATTTTTTCACCAGAGATATGCTTGCCACATCATCAATTTGATAGTTAAAGCAAGTTTAGATGCTATACATTCAAAGGTAGAGAGGGTGCGCACGACTATCAGATTTATCGTCGGCGGTAGCAATAAAAGATGGTAGGAGTACGTCAAATATTGTAAGCAAGAGAACCCACTGGTTCAACCTTTGAAGTTATGTACAGACATGCTTATCCGTTGGAACTCCACCTACTTGATGTTGGAAAAAACTTTGCCAACCGCGAAACAAATTACAGATTTCGTCAACCGGAAGCACTATCCAGAGGAAGTTGTCAGCTACGATGATTGGGCGGTTTGTGAACTTTTTTATTCATTTCTTCAAATTTTTTATGATGCTACTAATACATTAAGTGGTATTTATTATCCAACTACTAATTTAGTGTTAGATATTTTACTTCAAATTGCTAAAACTTTTGCTCAATATAGATATAATAACATTTTAAGGGAAATTGTTTTAAAGATGGAAGAAAAATATGAGAGATAATGGTTAGATATTCCATTCTTATATAGATTAGGCATTGTTCTAGATCCTAAGTTTAAATTATAAGTAATTAACTGTATAATTACTGAGATAGGCCAGCATTTAGGACACGATTATACGTCTTATTTGACTAACTTTAAACAAAAATTGGATAGCCTTTTTTCTTTATATGAGAACAGATACAATGGAAGTGGAAGTGGAACGTTCAGGAGAGAGGATCCGGACCTTAATGTAGCCCTTCGTCAAGGATCAAGCAAGTTGATGTATGTGGAACATGATGGAAGTAGTAGCTCCAGCTCATACATACATGGATCAAATGAGCTGAATCGCTACCTACAAGTGGACCTGCCGTTTATGACGATGAAAGAGCAACATGATATGTATATTCTTCAGTGGGGGAACTAACATGAAAGTCGATTCCTCATTGTAGCCTAAATGGCACGTGACATTTTATCTGTGCCGGTTTCTACAATTGCATCCGAGTCAACATTTTTAATGAGTGGTCGGATTGTTGAAGACAGAAGATGTTCTTTAACCGATGAGATGATTAAAGTGATAAATTTTTTAGAAATTTACTAATCTACCCCTGAAAAATACTAAAAACCCCCTATAAAATTTCATTTCGCCCCTAAAATATAAAAAAAGATCGGGGGGGGGGGAGGGGGAATTATCCAAGCGCATAGCACCGGTCTTGGATCCATAGGACCAGTCCTAGGGACAGGTCTGGGTCTTAATATCATAAACGAATACACTTTCCAGCCCTTAACCGATTGGTTGACAAGACATACTTTTGTTCTTTACTACATTATATCAAGGTTGTTATTATTATTATATAAAATTTACTGTTTACTTATATAGGGTGTCTTTGTTAATTTTGGCAACCTGGGGGAGGTAAATGTTACTTTAGGTTACATGTGTTTCTTTCCCTTTGTTAAGAGTAACGGTGAAGGTGTTGCAATTCAACAACTCCCAACCCAACGCCACCAAACGTGCCCAAAAGAGGCAAACGATCTGCCATTCAAATTTAAATCTCCAAAACAAATCAACAAAAATGTCCACGGTATGTTCTCACCCATTCAGCTCTAACCACGTGTCCGTACACTTCCCTTATTACTTAACGGAACCGTCACCATCCGTCACGGCCCATCTCTCTATCTCACGATACTCCCCTTCCGTTAAACCTCTTCTTCTCTCTTCCTTCAACGTCTCATCCCGACTCTAACGTCGCCGTTCACCAACAAACCCTAACCCTAACGTCCCCTAATGGCCTCTTGTGACGACGATTTTCCGCTCCTTGGTGACGACCACCACCACCAGATCTACCAACAACAACAAATAGAACGATCACCCTACACGCCTCAACGTTTCGAACCTGGACACGCGTCGCAGCCTCAACGGATCCCCGAGAACATCGGCGTGCGATGTGGAGACGACGAAGAAGAAAACGCTATCGATTCGGCTTTCAATTCCGCTAACAACAACAACAATAATAATTCTCAAATCGTGGTTGCACGGACGGCGGAGAAAAGGAAAGATCGGGAAGATGTCAACAATGGAGACGTTAGTAATGTCAGTAGCCCGTACAGTTCGAAGAAGTCGAAGCAGTATCAGAACGAGTACAGGAAGGATCGGGAGGAGTGGAGCGACGCGGCGATCGCGTGCCTTCTTGACGCGTATTTGGACAAGTTTATGCAGTTGAATAGGGGGAATCTGAGGGGAAGGGACTGGGAGGAGGTGGCGGTGACCGTGAGTGAGCGGTGCGAGAAGCACAGCAAGAGTGTGGAGCAGTGTAAGAACAAGGTTGATAATTTGAAGAAAAGGTATAAGTTGGAGCGGCACAGGATGAATAATGGTGGAATTTCGACCAGTCATTGGCCGTGGTTTAAAAAGATGGAACAAATTGTTGGAAATTCAGTGCCTGTTAAGAATGTGGCTGATGAAGATAAAGGAAGTGGCTCTTCCATTTCTAATTCGGTTAGGCAATCCAAGAGGTATATTGTATTCTTCTCGTGCATTTGTTTTGTAAAGCTTTAAGTTCTTACAGCAAAATTTTACGGATAATTTGTAATACATGATGGTAAACATATAGGAAGATATGGACCATTGCGGTAAGGATTATGTTAATATCTTAGGTATGGTGGAAACTTTATTTGCTTTTCATTTTTTAGAATTTGTGGCTGTCCCTTATTTATATTTTGATATTTAGAATCACATGTCAATGGTCTTTTTTTTTTCATGTGGATTATAATCTTGACTTATGCCGGGCAACCCAAACATGAGATGCCTCAAACTAGATTTCTTTCATGTCCATAGTTCAAAATGAGTCTTTGAAACTGTCTTACTAGACCCTGTTAAATATACAACAGTCTTTAATGCTATATCCACATGATGAGGTAATGAGGAGTTACTCTCATTATAGTCCTAATACTATTAATGTACAGTTATGCCTTTTTGTACATCATTTTGTTGCGTTGTCCCAACATTGTGTATTGCCACATATCCCTCGACTTCTAGGAATTTAGCAAATGGACTAGACATTGTCCAGATTCATTGTATCTATCATAATATTCACCACCTCTATCTGATCGTACTACTTTCACCTTTCTATCTAATTGCCTCTCAACTTCAGTAATATAATAAATACCTCTAGGATATTAACAAATTGAGATTTTTCACACAATCGATAAACATATCTATAATGTGAAAAGTCATCTATAAAAGTAATGATATCATTCTCCACTTAAAGAAGGTCATCAAAAGGACCACATATATCAGTGTGTATAATTCAATGAGTCCTATGCTTCTAGTGCCTACTTTTTAAACAGTGGATTTGTTTGTTTTCCTTTAATGTAATCCATGCAAATGCCAAAATCAGCAAAATCCAAATCGGTAAAACTTCATTCTTTACTAATCTTTGCATTCTTTCTTTTGATTATAGCCTAAACTGTTATGTCATAAATAATCAGATTTCCCATCCACAGAAGCACGTTTTATCCTATATATGATGCAAGGTCAATAATGTCTCGCAAACAAACTATCAAGATGTAATTTATATGGTCCTCACAAAGCACACCAGAACCAATTAAACAATTATATTTAAATAAACTAAAACTCCATTCCTGAATTTAAAAGTATATCCTTCTAATCAAGTTAAATAAGATATTAAATTATGGGATAACTTCGGTACATAAAATATTTAACACATCTAAATGAGTGCCAAACTTAAATTAACATAGTTTCCTGGCTTCTACTCGTGCTTTGACCCGTTTTCCTAGGTATACAAATCTTTTATTACATTTAGGTTAGGTCATAAGGAATCCCTACATAGTATTGAAATATGAGTGAACATCCAGAATTAATCCACCAAGTATTAAGACTTCTGATAAATTGATTCACCACAAAAGCACTAGGCTTACTTTTCTTTTCAAACCATGCTTCTCGTTTTAGGCAGTCACTCCTATAATGTCCAACTTTCTTGTAAATGACCTTTTCTTTAGTCTTATCCTTTTATGGATTTGGGCAGAACTCATTAATCTTCAATGGCCTTTTGCCCTTTCCATACTTCTTGTTGGATTTCTTCTTAACTCCAAACGAGCCCATGAGATTAACTAAATGAACTCCTTTTTCTTCCTTTCCTCTCTTGTACTAACTTATTTTGCATCTTAGTCATATTCCATTTATCTTTAATTGATTATAGTTATTTGAAATGGACTAAAGAGTTAATGACGAACTGAACAAGTAAACAATCGTCTACCAGTTCCCATGTTTCTAATTCTTGCTGCTATATTTGACATCTCAGTCCATCTCATATGCTACAAGAACCATCATATTTCATGGTGTCAAGCTTTTCATTAATGCCCCAATACAAGACTTGTCAGGGGCCTCACTGAGAAGTCTCTTTGGCTAATCTAATAAATTCCCGCATATTCTTGTTAGAAATAGATCTTAATTTTGCTCACCATTGTCTCCTAAAAACTTGGCTCAATCTATTCAATCTCTCCCATTTTTTATGGAAAGACCTCTCCTCATCAGTGTTGTTCTCAATGAGATCAATTGGATTCTCTATCAGGAGTGTAGTCGAGATTTTGAATACCCAAGTAACACTGACTTCTCTCCACTCATTATATTGAACCCATTAAACTTAACAACAGATAAGGCATGAAGAGCTGAATGTAAACAAAATTATGCTTACCCATTAATGCTTTGAGTTTTATATTTATACACAATTTTAGATTCACATATTTAAAACTTATTATTAACATAAATGTATATTGAAAAACCTTTGAGAGATATAACAATATACAATAATTAAACTTAATTGATGCAATTTTCTTAATTGGCATCAAATGTGCCTTCGTTAGACTGTTCATATCTTTGGATATACTAACACAGCTAATTAAGTACGTTAATTACCCTCAGTTAGTTCTAATTATAGGATTAACTAATCTATCTTTGGCTGATCCTAACTATCCTATATTTATGAACTCAAATTACTCATGTCCAATATATCATGTCTCTCAATAAAACTCTAACGATCATGAGTAATTGAATCTAACTTAGTTCGATATCTATGAAATAATCATTCTAATTTGGCCTCTTTGTTGACTAACAAATTATACATAATATAGTTATCAAACTTAAATAATAACTATAATTATATCCTAGTGGACATTCTATCTTTCTCTAAAGAAAATTATAGTTTAGAAACATATACACATCCTTCATGCGCCGCACACCTGCCTACACACGCCCTCACGCACTCTCACTTGCATCGCGCATTGGCATGCGCCCTCATGTCGGTTAACCCATTTTGACTGTTTGACTATCAGTCAATGTCTGAACCGATTGACCCGTTGATCGGTTTGAATTGTTGAATGGAGCAATTCACTTTTTGGACCATAACAAGGTTGGGTTGCTTCGTTTGGCTGGATTGGGTTGCTCGTTCATACAAATGCTTTGGTCTTCTTTATGGGTTATTCTTAACAATGTTTTGAAAATCGGACCGGATTCAAACGGGATAAAGATCCGATGCCGGTTTGAACGGTTCAACCGGTCTGATAGACGGGTCAGACTGGTGATGTTATATATATAATATCGCTTGTCACCTCATTCCTCTTCTTCTTCTCAATTCTCACTTGTCACCTTATCTTTTTTTTTTCTCTCCTCTTCTCCCCTCCTCTTCTTTTTCTTCCTACTTCTTCCATATTCTCTTCTCTTTCTCACTTCTTCTCTTCTCCCAGACTTCTCCTTATTTTTTTTTTCTTTCACATTCTAAGCTCGAATCAAACGAAGATGAATGAAGGTGAAAGAGAAGAATGAAGTTGATTTTTGAAGTTGAAGAAAAAAAGAAACATATTAGTTGGACCGTGTTCTTCCACTGTTAAGGCGGTTCATTTGCGGTTAAAACGGCCCGATCATTGAGAATGGTTTTTATTAGTTAGTGACCCGTTTTTCTTCCGAAACCTGGTCAACTGGCTGGTCTGGCCCAGTTTTCAGAATACTGATTCTTAATGGTTTTTGTGTTTGATATTGTGCACTTAATAAAAGGGTAGCTTCTTAATGAGTTTTTATAAACTAAAAAAAAGTACTTTAAAAAAACAAATGGGCTAGATCAACTAAACGATAGTGTTTTATATGGGTCAATATTTGACCCAAATTTCTGGAAATATTATGGAACCCAAATTTTGGAATTTTTTTTATTGAAAAATGCATCTAGACATTTTACATAAGAAAAATTCGATTCTGGCCACTTTCCAGCCACTTAAGAGGTATTCTTTAATCTATTTTAACCACAACCTTCCTATTTATCAATTTCCAACACAATCTAATTTCTTTATACCATAAGAACAGTGATATATAAAAATCAACTTATGGAAAATACGTCAGTTTCTAAACTTGAATTTGCTCTAATACCACATGTAAAACTAATTGCAATTTCATCAATGGCAAAGAATCAGTAATATAATCATATTTTATACCCTAAATTGCATAAACATTAAATCTCAGAATCTAAAACTTGATTAATATTCACTATTTATTAAAGAAGTATACATACTTGGTTCCATGATTATTTCTTGATGATGTAAGAAGGTAGTGTATCTCTCTCCTTTTCCTTCTGTCAATTGTTTATTTCATTTGATGGAAGAGAAAAACTCACGTTAGGAATAGAGAGAGAATACCCTTTTATATAGCAATTTTATTAACTATCAAACTGCAGTTATTTTTATTAACTGCATTAACCTCTCCATCAAAGGTAAATAACTTCAAACAACCATGGACCACCTTATTAATTAAATATTTCTAACAGGGATTCCAACTGATAAAGTTACTTAGTATCAATATCACATTGATTATAGAAAAGTAACTGATGTCAACCTATAATCTTGTAATCAATGTGGTGTTAGTAGTCTAGCATAAAAGCAATCACATCTGGGATGGGCATGGGCCGGGGACCTATGTCTCCAGGCTCGGCCCGAAAGCCTAGGGGGATTCCCCAATCCGGCATGTTCCCTGACCGAGGAATTCAGGAATCCCCAAATTAGGCCAATCCCCAATAAGGAATTCGGGATCCTCAGAAACCCCAATATTGATGTTGATTTCAAAAATTGTGTGGGAAAAATTTGTGTTTATAAATGAAGGGAAATCCGTAATTATAAAAATATAATTGATGACCTGACATAACTCTCTGGCGATAGTAGGATGAAGTCCACCCACAAATCTCTCCAATCGGTCTGTGGTGTACTAACCCAAGATGTCAAAGGTATGTTCTTAACTCAAAATAGTCATTTAGATGTTAATTTTATGTTATCATAAAACTAACTAAGGGCAAATAGTCGATCATTTGAAACGGTATGAATCAATTATCCATAGAAGACATTAGGGGCGAAATGGTCATTTTACCTGGGATAAGCATGGAAAAAGTCAAGGATGAGTAGGCTTCATTGCTTTAATAGCATTAATAAGTAATAATTATGTCTATGTGGAAATGACCAAAATGCCCTTATTTGAAGAATTAATGACTTATGATTTATACA